ACACACACACACACACACACACACACACATACATTATGGTTAAAATATTTAAATTATATTTAATATGATTTTTATATATATTTTTTAATTATATTTATTTATTTATATTCATTATATATTTATAATATTAATTATATTTATATTAATTCCAAATGTCCAGTGCTAACAATGATATATAAAAGAAATACATAATGATGAGAAATACAATGCATAAAATAAATTATGCATAAATAAATTATATGCATACAATGCATATAATAATATATAATGTTTTTATATATTCTATATATTTATATATTTTTATATATATCTTTATATATTAACAATGTAGACTGTGAAGGGGAAAAACTTAAAAAACAAATTTACAGTCTTATATTGTATGGGTACAAACCCTTTTAACCCAGACTTGTATACTCTGAATTGCTAATTTCTATCCTGTTCTAAAGATTTGAATTATCTAATGCCTTTGTATCTCATTTAGGCAAGGAGGGAGCTGAAACATGGCAGGCTGGATCAGGAGCTTCACTATAATGTTTTGGGAATCAAACCAGCAGCATAGAGGAAAAGATGGCTGCTGGGGAACCTGCATGAATCAATTCTCCTGTGACTGTGATCCACTGCTTCATTCTCTTTTCTCTCTCTCTCTTTCTCTCTTTCCCCCTCTGCCTCCTCCTTCCTTTCTCAGCAGTATTGCAGTTTCCATGCGGACTGTTAGATGGACCGCTGCTATCTGAGAGAGAGCAGAGAGAACTGTGACTTAAAAGCATGAGAAAATGATACAGAAAATACTCTGCCATCAGCAAAATTTCAGGTTCCAGAGGACATAACACTAATGCAGTAAAAGTATTTTCCATCCCCATTTACTATAAATACATCACACTGTAAAAATACGGCAACTGTGCTGTGCCAAGTCAAATGTTAGCACAAATCCTTTGGGACCTTTACGAATCCAAAGGCACAATGAGAACCCTGGGGCTCCTAAGGGAGGCTGTGAAGTGAAGCAGAAAGAAGAGACAAATCGTCCGCATAGTCCTTGAATAAAAGAGTAGAGTGTCTCAAAGCAAACAAATAAAGGTAAACATCTTTAACATTTACAAGCACAAAACTCATGGGTCAGTTTTTATGTATTTCATAATTAAAAAGGCCAAAATTCTTTAAAGTTTTACATTTCAGACAGCTTAGAAAACAGGTACAAACTCATACCTACTTTCTGTTCGTCTGTTTGGATCCCACTGGATACTATTTCAATATACTGTGCTTAAAAAGGTATTATGTTAGATTAATAGTCCACTAGACTGTTAGCTGCCTTACTAAATAATAACTGTCTTTTTAACTGCCACGGGGTACAGTCTACTCTTAAACTGTCCTGCAT